ATTTCCTTATATATTGAAACGTTTCATTTCTTCAATATTTATTTTATTTAATTTCCTTATATAATATGAATTAATAACTTCCATAATTACGAAATATGTGTACAAAATGTCATAAATACCCTTATTTTTTAAATTTAATTGAAAACAAATGGAATTTTCTTATTGGTCGAATTTGGTTTACAAGGTTTTTTAGAATTGGACGGTTCGCATTTGAACCTGCCCCTACATATATATACATATATATACATATATACATATATACATATATACATATATACATATATATATATAGACGAGCGATCAAATGAAAACCACTCCAATTTGTAAAAACCGTAAAAACTACTCTCATTCGTCGTTAATCTTATGAAACTTTTTCATGAAATTGTTAATCTTGTGAAATTGTTTCATATAATACTTTTTTTTGATGAAGTTGTTTCATATGTGGTTATTAAATTGTTTCATATACTACTTAATGAAATTTTAATGAAACCGTTTCATGTATTTCTCTAAAATTAAAATAATGAAGATGATAATATCCATTATTAACACCCTCCACAATAAAAATGGTTAATCAACCTCGCATAATTACAAAAAAATGAACAAAATGAAAAATTATGATTGGTTGAATGAGATTTTTACGGTTTTTACAAATTGAGTGGTTTTTATTTGAACTCACCCCTATATATATTATATGTATATATATATATATATGTATGTATATATAGCGAGTTTTAGGGGAAAAATCCTTAAAAAATGAAAAACTAAGAAGCATCCTAATAACCATTCATCTGTACGGTATGTCCACGTACATACAAATAAATTGAAGATGTTTAATGGATTCTATCCATGTGCACATGTTATACCTAATTATAGCATTTTAATATTATTTTTTAGGTATAACCTGACAAATTACATGTATACACATGTGTATATCATACAGATCAATGTTTCTTAGGGTGTTACACAGTTTTGGATTTTTTTTACCATCAATCATGAACCTGACCCTATATATAGAGAGAAAGTTTTAAATACAAATCATGTCATTCATACAAACCAATCTCACGATTATCAGAAACTAATGAATTTTAATTCGATTAAGCCTATATCTATACTATATTATAAAACAATTGACAAAAACTCTATAAAACCCATTTTTATGTATTAAGTGTTGTTTATTGATGCATATTACTTAAAATTCAAGATTACAAGTAAATTGTGCGTATGTACAACTTATTAAAGCTCTATATTTGGATTCATGTAACTAACTGTGGATAAACATAATCAAATATCGGATAGGTATCTCATTTTAAATATAAAAAATCTAAAATATATTTAGGATAATCATTGAATTCTAACAAAATACTAATTATTATTTTTATAAAAGAATGATATTATTAAACCAAAAATAATTGACTCCATTATTAAATCTAAATTAAATTATAATAAAAAAATTGAATTAAAGATATTACATAAAGAAACAAAAACTTTTAAATATTTAATTTGGTACTACAATACATTTTTTTTTTTCAAAATTTTGTTATACCTTCAAATTTTCAAAAAATATCATTTTTCAGTACCACATAAAATCGTATTATAATACTGACAGAGACAGAATAAAACAAAACATTAAAATCGGGATGTATTTCGTTGTATTGTACGAATATCCTTCTAGTATATATACGTATATTATATTATGTTATTTACTTTAATACTATTAATCTACAAATTTAATTAATATTAATAAATTTATTTTAATGCTTTTATTATTTATTCATTTAGATATTATATTGTGTGTCTCGTTTAATTTAATACTATTAGTGTACAAATTTATATTAATATTAATAAATTTATTTTAATGCGTTTAGTTTTTTTATTTTATTTAAAGAAAAATAGTTTTACCAAATATAATGCCAAAAATGATGTAATCATGTTTTTCAACCTTTTAAGCATGCCCAAAAGTGAAAGCACCACGTTTTTAACATGTAAATTTATCACACTTATTCAATATCCAAAATTTACTTTCATTTTTTTATTAACCTAGATATCCAATTCGTTATACGAGCCAACTAATTCCAGGGGTGCCATCCGTTTTGCGGGTAGTCCAGAGTCACCACCGCTTTGAATTCTCGTGGCTACAAGAAGATTTTTATTTCTACTTGGATTTGAATCTGAGACCTTTTAGCCACTTTTGACCTTTAAGGAAAAATAATAATATATTCAACCTTATTAATATAATAATTAAAATAATATTTCTTCTACTTAATCTTTAGTTTTTTTACTGTTTAAAATATATTATTGTAACCGGCTTTTTAATCATATCATTTGGATCAAATCTGTAAGGTGTATATAGTATGTAAATGGAATTTTTAGACTATTATATATATGAGGGTCTAATTAAATGAGAACTAGATAGTTTGTGGTAACTGTGAGGTCTAATATGAGTTAATCATTTTAGATAATTAATGTTATTTATTAAAATAAAACAAAGGGTAAATTAGTAAATTGTGTTGATTATTCGGTTTACTTTAATTAATTTAATATTTTAATTTACTTTACTTGGTTTAATTATTTTAATATATGTATATATATACACACACATGAACATAGATGGACCAAATCCAGTGGCATTCTCGGCACCCACCACCACTCTAGTGACCTCCTCCAGTCATTTTGTCAGACCAATACACCGTCTTCGATGATCGACCAATAAACACCTACATGTGATAGTGGTACCACAATTGGTATCGCAGTGGTCTCAAAGTTTACTTGGTGTGTTTTGAGTATCACATTGTGTATCTTGGTGTATTTTGGATATCACATGATGTTCGTCAGATGTCGGAGGTAGGGGAGAGAGAGAGAGAGATAAAAATTTTAAAATACATAAAATGCCCTTTAATTATAATTTTAAGTCAAATTACCAAAAATATTAGTTTCCTAATTTATCTATTGATTTGTGGTTGAGATTTGATCTCACAGTTATCACAAACTAATCAGTTCTCCCTTAAATCGCAAACTAATTAGGGTCGGTTTCACGTGAGACCAATCTATTTTCGTGAGACCCGTGAGATCACTTTTTTACACTTGAAACTTCAAAGCAAAACGTTGTGACTCACAACGTTTTGTTTTTAAGTTTCAAGTGTAAATATATGGTCTACGAAAATAGACCGGTCTCACGTAAACTCAAGTCATATAAGTTATTATCGTAAAGACAGAGATAGGTTTTAATAGTATCAAAGGAGGCGACGACAGAGATAGGTTTGACATATATTGCGGTGAGAAAGTGGACTTTGGTTAAAGGTACCGACTCTAATTTTTGGAATATACTTCGAGAATCTTCAAAATAAAGAAAATGAAGATTTTACATCAATTGTGTGTTCAAAAAATCTTCCAAAATGGAGAAAGTAGAACGTGGAATTCTTGAAATTAGAGAATTTTTAAAACTGATTTCTATAAAGAAAAATATTTATTTATTAGATTTCACTAATAAAAAAAATTTGAGATTAAATGTTTAAAAAAGATAAATAAAAATAATTAAATATATAAAATATTTTAATAATATAATCAATTCAGTAACCTACAATTTTTTAAAAATAAATTTTAAATATATATTTTAGATTGATTTGATTGTCAAATTAGAACATAAAATAATATAATTTTATACAAACACTTTAGTAAAATATTTTTATCATTTATATCTTATATAAAATCTTTTATTTATTATATCTGTAATATTTTTGTTGGGAAAATTAATTAAAAAAGTAATGTTTGACTTGTGTTTTCACATCTTATTCATTTCTCTTTTAAAATCATCAAAATGTGTAGGTTTGCAATTCATAGCTTATAGAGGGATCAAAGTGTAAAAAAAGGAGTTTCTGAACCATGTCCCAGATCCCGAATCTATAAAATAGATACAGGTTTGTTGGGATTAATTTACAAATTTGGTCCCTACACTTATAAAGCTGGTTTAATAATTTTTCTGCAAATTGCAACCTACCATTTAAAGATCTAATGACAATCTAATAATGTAATTATTTTTCATTTTTATTATAGTTTGCTGACCTTTCTTTCAAAAAAATGTGATTCATATTTAGCTATACTATATTATAAAGTTTCTGACAAAAACACTTAAAAACAATTCTTTATGCATTAAGTACTGTGTATTAATGTATATTACTTAAAATTTAATATAACAAGTAACTTGTGCGTAAGTACAACTTATTAAAGCTTTATTTTTGAATTCGTATAACTAAATATAGATAAACATAATCAAATACGGGATAGACGACTTATTTTGAATATAAAAGATCTAACATATAATTAGGATAATAATTAAGTTTTAATATAATCGTTATCTATATAAAAAAATCATTGTTAAGCCACAAATAAATTACTTCACTATTTGAACTAAATTAAATTATAACCAAAAAATTGAATTAAATAAACTATACAAAAAAACGAGAACTTTTAAATAATTACTTTGATATTAATATCGATATATTTTTTTAAAATTATTTTTAATTCAAAAGTAAAAATATTATTTTTCTCAAAACCATATAAACCGTATTATATTAATAAAGACAAAAAATAAAACAAAATATTTAAAAATAAAGATGTATATTATTACATTACACAATGATAATAATAGAAATTGTTGGAATGTATCCAATCAAAAATTGCCAAGTCATCATATCAGGACACACGTACGGGCATGACCTTATGCAGTGTTCAAAACCTACCCCTCGCTTTCAACCCCCACCTCATTTTATTTTATTTTATATTTTATTTTATTTTACATCTTCAATTTTTCACTCACTAATATAAGCACATGCACGAATATATATATACATACACATCATTGTATGCCCCTCTCTCTAAATCTCCGAAATCTCAGCCGACGGGAAGTCTCGATTTCTGACTGACGGTGGTAGGCCATTATTTCCTCTTGCCGGAACGGGAAACAGGTTTCCGTTTTCCGATTACCTTATTTAGAGGAGAATATCATGGCGCCGGCAGCCGGCGTTTCTTCCGTTACCGATCTAGCACCGGCGGTACATCCTTCAGCGATGTCAGAGACGTTCGCTAAAAACGCGATCATCTCCTGGTTCCGAGGCGAGTTCGCGGCGGCGAACGCGATTATTGACTCGCTGTGTGGACATCTGTCTCGGTTAGATGGCGGAAGGTGCGAGTACGAATCGGTGTTTGCTGCTATACACCGCCGCCGGCTGAATTGGATTCCAATTCTTCAGATGCAGAAGTATTTTTCCATCGCTGACGTCACTCTCGAGCTCCAAAAAGTGACAGAGGAGAAGACGAAATTGAGAGGTTCGGAGAGGATTGAAGAAGTCGATGTTTCTTCGCCGGTGAAATTAGAGAAGCAACCTGAAATTTTGGAAATGGAATCCACGGATAGCAATAGAAATGGTGGTGCCGAGGCTGATGACGATGATACCAGACTTAGTGCACCAACAAGCGAGATAACCGATACAGGTAACAGCGATTATACTCATTACGTTTTTCCTTCTTGTTATCGTTGGTATATGGCTGACAACAAAGTATCGGGTCTCATATCATATGATCTCTTATAGTCTTATACTGCAGACTCGTTATTATCATGATGCATAATTCTGCCATTGTTCAGATCTCGTTCTATGTTCTTCATCTTCCGTACATAAATATGTGTTTACATGATGATGTGTAATTGTGTATTACACGGGATATTGCGTCCAGAAATCGACATCTTCCCGGAAATGTGCGTCAACATCTAATCGTAGGCGTTGGGGGAACTTCACTGATTTTATGTATTCCATATACGATTTTACTTCAAATCAATGTTTTAAATAATAATGTTAACCTTTTCAATTGGGATCTGGATTTTTGGAACAAACAGTTTCATGTCCATTGCTTTTACCAAACTTTTGCCTTGAATTTGCTCTGTTCTAATGTTACTCTCACTCCGTTGGCATTGAGGGAGTTCCCCAAATTCTTATCCCTGGCCTTTTGTCTCCCATTCTCTGCAAGTATTGAGAATTAGTAAAACCGAAAATCCGGCTATCGGCATTTTCTCCGTAATTTATGTTTTAGAGTTTACGGAGTAGGTTAGAAGACCTCTAATTCGACCATTAAAAATAAAACACTCCGATTAGGAGGTCTATTAAACATTAAAAAAATCAATTCAAATAAAATATTAAAAAAAATATATCTTTTTAATATAATAATAAGTTATTACTTAATATATTAAATTACTAATTAATATGTAAAAATATATATACACTAAGAATCCCGATATCTCAAAGAACATCAACACAAGCAGCTACGTTGTTTGTAACTCACAAATCCTTATTTGTGATAATT